GGTTGGTAGTTTTTAGAAAAAACACTTCATGTTTTTTATGTTTTTATATATCTGAGACCTATGCTATTGCCTAAAAATCGCATGATAGGTGACCTTTAAAAGTACAAATAATGATAACATGTCAATAGTACAACTCTGACATTATTGTTATTGTTTTACTTTTGATACTGTAAACATTTTAAAGTAACGTTTTTAAATACAGGACTTTTCTCCTTTTGGAGAATGTATTACTTACATCGTTTTAGGAGTATTATGGTAGCAGTGGTAGAACTCAATTAGTTTAAAAAGGAAAAGATGCAACAACACAACATACAGTATTTGCCACAGAAAGTAGTGCTCGTTAAAGTACCAGATAAACACCTTAGCTTGCAATATATGTTCATATATTAAAGTGTTTTCCATACTATTTATATGTACATACTTGTCTCTAATATATATTTGTAATGCTAAATAGATTCTTTAAAAATACTTATATGTAATATCTTTATATGTCTGACCTATATTGTAACTTATTTTCTCATATTGTTTATGTTTGCACCGCCAGAACCCAAAGCGTATTCCTTGAATGTGTAAAACCTAACCTGCAATAAACTTGATTCTAAACTTTTACAGAAATTCAGCAAAGGAAGTTATTTTTAAGTCTTTTTTTTCAATTTAATAACTTGACTACAAATGTGCTTATTTGTTGTCATTATAATCTAAGCACCGAGTCATTTGTATTACATCATGCATATTTTATTATATCACTATATATTTTGTATTATGTTTAATATTTTTTCATGTAATTATATTTTCTTATAATAGTTCTCTATTGTTTTTGTTTACTTTTATGTATTCACCCCAACACAAAGTCAAATTCCTTTTACGAGTCAACCTACCTGGTAACAAATCTGATTCTGATTCTGATATTTGGATGACTATTATGTTTGTATTATTCTCTCTCAGGTGTATCGGTGCTTCCTGTCTCCTCTGTGTCTCCTCCATGTCTCCTCCATGTCTCCTCTCTGTTTGCTCCATCAGTCTCTGTCCTGCGGCCTCGGCTTATCAGCTCTGTTGACTCTGTGTTAATCCCCATTAGTTAGCAGGAGGCTCACTGTTTCTCTAACCGCTGTTTTGTCCCCAACAGATCAGCTGGTTAACGGCGGACTGATCTCAATCTGCGGCCGACTGTCTGCACAGAGACGCGCTGATCTCTGCGATAACAGCCCGATGGTAACCTTTATTCCTCCTACTGCTGCTAATTAATCAGCTTTAATGTAGTCTAATGATGAGGAACAACATGTGCGTAAAGAATCTCCATGCACTCAGGAAACATCACTTATTTTTACACAATTTTATGATCGTTTATGTTAATAATTTAAAAAAAATCACCTTTCCTCATATCGCCGAAATAAAAGGTTTACTCGAGTAAAAGCAGAAATACTCAACTGTCCAAATGTTCTGTTTCAAGTCAAAGTACTGCATTCAAAATATAACTACACTATAATATAAGTCTTTCCATCACTAACAACTTGGAGTAAAAGTACTCGTTGTGCGTAATGGCCCGTTTCAGGATCTATTTAATTATAATTACTGATGTGTAAGTGCTTTATTATTATTATTATATTTGAATTTTTTATTTTTTATTTGACTGGTGCTTGATATTTTAACCCATAATTATATTCCAACGTTAATTAATTCATATTTAGTACAAGCTAATAGTCTAAATCTAAAAAGTAAGTAGCTCTTAAATACAAAAATAAAAATCCTTAAAATATCACTCTAAGTAAAGGGTCTGATGTTAAAATGTGACTTAAGTAGAAGCACATAAATATCATTATTTTATTAATATTATTATTCTGTTTTTCTCGGTAAGTGGCACAGAAAAAAAATACTTAAATAAAGTACAAGTTCCTCAAATGTGTAGTAATTGAGTAAATGTACTTTCATGTTTATTCCATGTTTTGTATAAGCTAATAATCCAAATCTAAAAAGTAACTAAAGCTGTTCGATTAAAAATAAAACTAGAAATACTTAAAGTCTTAAAATCCAACGTACACATTTGACTAGAAGTACATACTTATGATAATAAAATGTATTAGTATTAATTATTTGATTACTCTGTTCTTGTCTGTAAGTGGCACAGAAAGAAACACCTTAAATAAAGTAACATTTCCTCAAATGTGTACTTAAGCAGAAGTACTTACATATTATAATTTTTATTAATATTACTGTTCAAAAGAAAATACTTAAATAAAGTCAAAGTTCCTCAGTAAAGGGTCTGATTTTAAAATGTGTATGTATTTAAAAAAGTACTTAAATATTATTTGATTAATATCACTATTCAGATTGTATCAAGTGTCTGCAAGTGGCACAGAAAGAAAACCCTTAAATAAAGTGCAAGTTCCTCAAATGTGTACTTAAGTGTAGTACTATTGTAAAGTAAAATGTACTTCAGTTATTGTACTCCGTTACTCTCCACCTCCCTGAGCTCCTGTCAGTCATCACAGCTGCTCATAAGAACCAGAATAAATGAGCTCTGCGCCTCCCGCTGTTCCTCTCAGGCGGAGCGTCTGTCCCACATTAGCACTGAGTGGCTGTAATTATAACAGAAAGGCTTTTGGGGAAGCGACCGTTCTCAGGCCGGAGGAACAATTACGCGCAGAGAAAAACAGCAATTGACGCTTCCTCTGCGTAATTTACACACCATTTCCACCATAATCTTTGTTACTGGGAATTATTGCAGCAAATAAGTCTGCAGGTTTATGTCCGAGGAAACACATTTGCTCTGAAATTGACCCCCTTCCTTGCGTGTAATTTTGTTTGGCTCTTATTTATCCGTAATGACTAATTAACGCCACTAATTAGGCTGCATGGTTTTAAACAAAGGCGCTTTGTAGCGTCCTGGAAGTCTCCCATTTAAAAAAAAACACTTACTGCAAGCCAAAAGAGTTCTTTGTCAGACTTAGAGTGCAATTTACCAATAAAATAACAGACAAGAGCAGCATGTAGAGTTATTTATAGGAGCTCAACCCTGAGCAGCTGCGACAGTGAGAATAATGTTAGCAAAATATTACAACTCTGAAGTTTAACTGTATAACTTTGATCGGTTTAAAGTATTTTTTTTACAGTGTTATTATTCTAATTGAGAATCAGAACATGTTACTGCAGGCCAAAGCGAGTTCTTTGTCATCAGACTAAAAGTCCAATTTACACAGAAAACCTGAAAGAAGTTGCAACGTCTTCCATTTTGAGAGATGGAATCAAATACGGTTGATCAAATTTGCTTTTTGAATGACTCCCACGTTTACATTCAAATGTCGATAAAACAGGTCAATTGAATCAAATCGTTGGTCCTTTTGGATCATTTGCAACCAAAAAAGCAGATTCTTAAAACATCCCTGTCAAGACTCTGTTTTATTTTGTATTAATACTCACTTTAGACTCATGGATTCTGTGAAAAAAAACTTTAAATGTTCCTGTTTTTCTGTCATTTCTTACATCTACTTTAGTCTACTCTTACATCTAACCGTTTTTTAGTTTTTATTATAAGAGTCTTTGTCCCGCCAGGATTTAGTCTGTTACCTGTGAGAATAGCCTCTATCTGAGCTGAAATAACACCCTCAAACTGAAATAATAGCCGGGACATGAACCTCACTCCCCCTCTTCCCCTTTCAAATTCTCCACTTCGGGATAAATGGTGAAACTTGTAGCAATAATACCCCCTTCTTTCACACAAACGCCTCCCCGCTGCCATCACCTCCAGCCCGGCTGGGGACCTTTGGAGAGCCTTTCTCCGCGAACAAAAAACGCCCCCTGAAGGGGAACAAAAGTGACCACATTTTTCCTCCATGTCCCCAATTCTCCGCGCAGAATAACCCGCTGCCTGTCCCTCAAATGGGAATATTAGGACGTCAATCTCACGGCCCCTGCGCGCTTTTGTCTTTGCTGAGTGCCCGGCTCTGCCTACCACACACCTTTTGTCCCACAATCCAATAAGAGCCATTATTCCCACTCCTTTGCGTGGCTGCAGCTCGGTTTTTGGGGTATTTTAGGTGCCTAATCGCGTCCTTTAAAGGACCCCAAATGGAGAATTATACTTCCTCCTTTCACTTCGCTTGGCACCGGGACAAAGAGTCCCTTTAGCAGGTTCTCCTGCAGCAGATCTGCCCAATATGTTTACGAGACACATTTAACTGCGAACATTTGATTCGCCCCTGTGACCCCAAATCGGAGCAATAATAAAGAGAATTATTATTCTTTCTTAAATTATTTAGGTAGAAAATACAGTTTCAGGTCAGCACATGACGTTTGAAATCTAATAAGAGGATCAAATGTTTTCTTACAAAATCAAACGCACCTTGTTCTCATGTCTCGGATTTATTTGAATAGATGTGAAATAGACTGAAACAGTTCTCTTTTCAACCAAAAACCACAACACTTAAAGCAATTTAATCTCTCCATAGACTAACAATATACCATTTAAAAACATACATGAAAAATATGAACCATCTTTTTTGTTCAAATAAGGAGAAATGCGCAAATCTTGTGCGTAATGTCCCCCCTGTGCCTCAGTCCAAGTGCCAAAATAGAGCACTAATAATAATTGAAAAAAATACATCAACTTTAACCCAAGCGTTGTCAGTTTAGGTGCCACACGCCTTTACGCACACTTATTCCAGCTTCGAAGTAGCCGGAAATACGAGTGAATGTCAAGTCATCGGACACAAGAATCCAAACTCACATCCTTTATATATAAAATACTATTTTCTGACCAAGTTTGGACCAAGTTAACACACTTCTAAAAGCTTGTGGGTTAAACCAAATTGCAAGAGCTCCAAAAAAAGAAACAGTTCTGGTCTGGTAAGGCTACCAGGAATCCAAACTCCCATCCTTTATAAAATATAAAATACTAATTTCGGAGCTGAGTTCTGACCAAATGAACACACTTCTAAAAGCCTGTGTTGACCAAAATTAAAAGAGCTCCATTTATAAAAAAGAAATACAGTGTTCTGGTGAGGCTACCAGGCCCGGATCCCCTGCAGGGAGCCCTGGCAGGATGCGACCGATGTCCCTTGGTGAGCTTGGGCCTGTGTTGATCCTCCGAGGCTGCTCACATTTCCCAAGTTCATGTTCATGAAGGCGCTGGAGGTGCTGGAGGGGGGCAGGGAGGGGATGCTGGTGTATGTGCAGCTGTAGTTGCTGTTATAAGCGGGGTTGTTGTAAGTATACGCCGGGTATCCGTTATAGGTATACGGGTTGGATCCATACGGAGCACCGGAGTACGTCTGCCCTCCCCCCAAACAAGGCTTCCCATCTCGGACTAACACCGGCACAGCGACGCGTCTCGGCGGCGGAGGGTGGTGCTGCCCCACCGCCTCCAGAGACTTGTCCTGCCGCTGCCTCTTGCACTTGTAACGGCGGTTCTGGAACCAGATCTTCACCTGGTTGGAGGTGAGTTTGAGGCTGGACGCCAGGTGCTCTCGCTCCGGGGCGGACAGGTATCGCTGCAGCTTGAAGCGACGCTCGAGCTCGAAGACCTGCGCCTGGGAGAAGAGCACGCGGGGCCTCCGCCGGCTCCGCTGCTTCTGCGCGGGCCGATCACAGTCAGCCTGCCCGCCCTCCGAGGTCTCCTGCCGGGACACCAGACCGCAGCTCTCTGGGGAGGGAGGGAGGACACGGAAGAAGTGTTAAAATCTCAAATCCTAACATGTTTTTTCAGAAGTAAAAAACAATGTAATTCCAACGTTATCAGTGTACAGCTAATACACCTTTGGTAGTTTTTGAGCAGAAGTCTTAGCAGTAAAAACTGTATTAAATAGTGCACATTAAATCCAAGAAATATCCACCACAAAACTTAAACAGGACACTTCTCCTATAGCTTTATTAAAAGTCCGATATGACAACATATGTTTTAAGCAAGAATGCGTACACAAAAAAGCTTAGAAACCATTATGAAAAATAAACAATAATATGCCGATTATATTATTCCAACTGAAGCTAGGCTACAACACTAAAAACCTCATCACATAGTTCAAAATAAATCCAATAATATCCACTGCCGGGACTAAAACTCAAACAGAAACATCTCCTTTGCTGAATGAACTTCTGAAAATGTAAAAACTTTAAGCTAGAGGCACAGAAAAGCTCAGGAATCATGCCCCAACCCGTGCACTTAGTAGACTTTGAACAGAAACTGCAGCACACACTTTAATAAGTGGATCAAACATGAGATCTCCATAGCTTCAATTAGAAACTACCATAACATTACAAAACAATTATATAAATTAGACAATTTCACACCTGGTTAGACACTGATCTTTAAAGGATAAACCGTGCAACAAGTACAAAATAAATCGGATTGGTTTAAAATACAGTTGGCCAATTTTAATTTTCAGACAGATATTATGTACACAAAGTAGTGTAGTAGTATCTTAACTGTTTATATCTAATGAGTAATTATCTCATGTGTTGGAGCTGGGTGTGTTTATCAGAGCTACTTCTCGGTGTCTTTTCTTTTACAGCCTCTTTAAACTAATTGTCGGTTTATGGTCCACACATCATAACAGACTGGCGTAACGAAGCCCTGCAGACTGTTTGACAGACTTTACTGGATCCTTCAGAGTTAGGGATCTCCAGCGTGTGGATAACTCTTTACTGGGATAATGTTTGGTGAGTAAGCATCTTAGGACAAATACTTCTCTATATAAGTTAGAACATATTAACAGGGATTTTGGCATGTGCACAGCCATTGACTAATAGTGGGGATCATTTTTAAGGTCACACAAGTGATCATATACTAATTAAAATACTGGAATAATTGGCCATAAAATAGCTGCATGATTATTTAGAAAATTACACAACATTTATTTTTTCCTTCCAGTTTTTGCTTGACATTTTATGACCTTTTACGTATACTAAATGAATACCAATTATTAGATTTTTTTAAATTATAATTTACATGTAAGAACTACATCATGCGTAAAAGAGGTAACGTGTCTCATTTGCCATGACTTCACTTTGGTTAAGGTTGCAGGTTACGCTGCTATTGTTGCTAAACATGCGAATGATTGTCTCGCCACCAAAACTGTTACATTCAAATCAGGAACACACATTTATAATTTACGCTTTTTTGTGTTTTCTCTGTAAAACCCTGATAATGGTGCATTGATTCTTATTGCACGGTTCCTTTGTTGCCTTTTGTCTGCACAGTAGCGGCTTGAACTCACTGCTCTCCTGCTCCTCCAGCTCGTTGGCCTCCAGCTTGGCTCCCTGCAGGCCGGGGTGCCCGTACATGTCCGGGGAGAGGCTGGTGTCCCCGCGGTCCTCCTCTCCGCGCACCGCCAGCGCGCTCAGGTACGCCAGGTTATCCTCTCCGTCCGAAAATGAAGGACTTTCCCGGGCCGCTGCGAGCATGCAGGACGGTGGGGTTTGGAAGTGCTGCTGCTGGGGAGGTGAACCGGGTAACTGCTGGGTTTGGACCCGGTGCTGGAGCTCCAGAGATCCGGCCTGCTGCTGCTGCTGCTGCTGCTGCTCCATTTTCAGGATATCCTTGACGGAAAACGGCGTGGAGGTGAGCGGACTCTGCAGCATCATGTCATCCAGCTCCTGCTCTACAGCTCCGAGGAAATGAAGCCCACGGAGTAACATGCACTCCTCCTTTCCCTGCACTCTTTCTCTAACAAATAATTGAGCCTAATAGCTCCTTCTCGCGTAATTGGAGGTGCGTTAAGCCTCTGGAATCCTTCATCGCAGTGAAACGCACGAAAACATGGGTATTAGTTCCGGTTTTGTCCATGCAGGTCTCCTGTCTGACAGATGTAATATCGGGCGTTGTGAGTGGAGTTTGGACCGGGACGAAGGAGCGCCTCTGCCTCCTCTGGTGTCAGGGGGAGGGGTGAGTGTGAAACGGAAAGTGCGTGCAGGCTGGAAGCGATTTGGGAAATCGAGGGGGAGAGAGAGAGGGAAGATGGGGCGTGTACGTGACGTGTGTTCACGTACTGGTTTTGTTTTCGGTCTTATATAAATATGGTGGACAGATAATTGTAGCTACTGACCCCCACTCCTCTCCACTCTCTTCCTAACGCACGCATTTTGATACAAAAATCACTTTGTGAGTCTTAACCTTTGATTGCAAAAAGATCATCTATAAATGTGCTCTATTATGTTTTAATACGTGTTAATTGTAGTTTGAATGATTCCACAGTCGCTCAGTGTATTGGAGTCCTTGTGTTTGCCCGTGCGTAAATCAGTGCGCTCTTTGGAGAGGCGCAGCGTGCGGCACACTCGCTTTAAGGGCAGTGGCACGTCAAGGTCAACAGTCAGGTCAAAGGGTAATAGAGGCAGGAACCCGTAGTTGTTTAACTTCATCCAGAGGGTTGGTGATAGGGGAAAGTGGAACTAACACATTCAGGTGGATTTTCTCTCTGGTTTTCCATTTGTATAGTATTTTCGTATATTTGTGTCAATAAGATCTGCGGTGAAGCCTGTCTCGTCTTTTACTTGAGAGGTTTAAATAACCCTTTTGACTTTACGTTACAATTAAAAGGGAGTAACATGTGAGTTTTGGCATATTCAAAAAAAATGGGCCCTGCAGATCTCACACAAACTCCTGAACTGTGTGTTGAGTTCTTTTTCGGAATGGCTCACCAAAAAGACACATCATGAAGCTGAGGCTTGTTGGACTTCTCTCAGAGTTTCAAAACGTGTTTGCTCGTTTGAGAAATGTCCAAGTGTTCAAAAGATGTGTTATGTCAGACTCTACAACAGTGAAATGTGCACATGACTCATATTCCAGAAATATACACATGTTCTTATTTTATGTAATGAAGCAGCATTTCAATAAATGCCGTGTAAGTTTTTAACATCTCACTCTTGACGTATTATGTTAAAACGCCAATAAAGCCAAGTGCCTTTTACTCTTTGAAAGGGCTGATTTTGCTTTTCAAAGTACAATTTGTAAGAAGACCATACTGAAGAAAACATTAAAAAAGGTTTATTTGCAAAATTCTAGATAAATATATAAATATAAAAAAACACGTGCAATCAATATAGAAAAAGCTTATTAAATGAACACAAAATATGATTTCCTCCAATCTGGGTTATTTTCTTTGACCTCAAATGAATCCCCAATTACCTAAAAGTATATATATGGTCAAACACATTTGTATCCTAATGACCAACTGTGTCCTAAGCAGTTTTAAAATAAGATAAAATCAAATTGAACTTCATTAATCCCCGTTAAACAGCAACAGGGTGAGATTGAAAAACAGCACAGATTCACAACAACACCCTTTCCCGCAACATAAGAGAAAGCATTAGCTATGAATGTAAAGGAAAAGTGTTCCAGAGGTTAAGGTACAATATTCAAAATAGTCTTCATTCCCCCCTCTCTTAATTTGAGAGTTAGTTTTTCCTCCTGCAGCAGCTTCTCTCTTGGGGTCTCTCGTCTCTGTTATCGCGGGTGTTGTATTAATAACCCTCCACGGGCCGATAAGCAGGGCCCCCGGGGCAATTAAGATTCCTGCTGGAAAACTGACGGACGTTTTTAGCCGGAGCTAATCTGCTGCTATCAGCTCCTCTTTCCGTTTTCAGCGGGACCTCCACCTCTCTCCCCCCGCTGCCCTCGCTCCTCCTGCGGGCTGCTCTCTCAGCTAACAGCCGGCGAAAAAAGGATGTGATTAAAACCAATATAAATACACTTAATTCAGATTTAACATGTTCATTCGTGTCCTGATTCTATAGTAAAACCACAATGATAAGGTTTGCATGTAATACAAGTTATGATGAAGGTTTCTGTTGCAATTAAGACATTTCCACACAAGCGTTTTTTAATGTTATTATGTTCCATTATTTGCTATAATTTTCAAAGCTTTACCCAAACATCATTACAGTATTTTACTATTTTCATTTTTTATATTTCTTTTGTAAATGACTCATCAATAAAGACAATCCATACGTAGACATGTTGTAATATTAACAATGATGCTAAAATACAGTGCACATCTGTAATAAGGTCAAAGTGACGTGAGTAATGCAATGTTGAATGATACATTCATATAGGATAGTGCAGACCATAACATTGGAACTGTTAGAAAATATTAATATATAGTAGATTATTGTTTCCGAAATATGTATAAAGCATTTTTGTGGTCCTACATCACTTTTTGGGTCGCACAAAAAAATCACAAATTATTGAACATCTGAATTGTTCTTCTATATTGGAGCTTTCTAAGTGTGTCAAGCTTTTTCTGTTTTCTCTGTGATATCATTATGCTGATGCAGAGTGAGTGAAATGTCGGTGCTGTTAAAGAAATTATTCAGTCATCATTTTCTCTAGGGCAAAATAGTATTTATTAACAAATGCATTCGTGTCAAAACAACATAATGATATTAGTGTATTGGACAAAGAATACAGAAAACAAGACTCTCACTGTGTGCCCATGTTGAAAGTTCTCTAAACTGGATGCTGCCTGGCGTCTCTCCTCCTCTGCGGGTACATCCAGCAGGTAGTAAATATAATATAATAATATATGTGCATTTCAATCTGTGCACGCTGGAATCAGACAGATATATGTGAGTTTGTCCCTGCAGACTCCACGGCGACCCTCTCAAATTCATCCTACATCATCATCAGCATGTCCTCGTAAAAAAAAGTGCCAAACGGCCGGATAGTGTTTAGACTGGCACCCAGCCGCCTCCATTTACTTTAAATAAGCATTAAATCCAACGACGCCAGGCTGAGCGCTTTGTTTTCTGTGTGTGAGGAGAGCCAACACTCAGCATATTGGAAATAAAATAAAAACTGTTTTAGTCGGACTTAAGTGACGGGACCTTTGGCTTTGTTTGGATGGTTATTCTTGGACAAGTTCAGGGATCTCCAGAGGTCCAAGAGGGGTTTCTGGGATGGATTTCGAGAAAGTTTATATGAGCATCTCAATTGAAACTCATAACACACATTTTGTTGTTCAATCGAACAAAAAGGAGATCATTAAGGCGCAAACCAAAGAATGGAAGCCCTGATCACTTTGACTCAAATACTTTCACCTAACTCTAAACCCCTGAAATCAAACTAAACTGACCCCGTGCTCCCTTCAAAAAGTACTTTTCATAGACTCTTAGAAAAAATAATGGGTCTGCGGAGAGCATTTCCCAGCGATCCCAACTCGTCTATTACCAAAGTTCAGGGAGTTCAATGCAAGTCAATAGGCGCATTCACACCGCAGTACTTTTCCCACAAAGNTTCATGAGAACTTAGTTCATCAGAACTCTTTAGTTCTGATGATAACAGATCGCGTTCACACCGGAATAAGTCCCTGGGGGTGGATTAGGCAAATGAAGCCGCTGACGTCACTTCTTCTTCTTCTGCTTTGGGTTTACTGGCAGGCCGCAAACAACTTCACGGCGTATACTGCCGCCCAAAATCCCCGGCCGGAAGTCCCCGGTTGTTGGGGACTGGCTTCAGTAGAAGCTGCTGGGACTCCCAGCAGCTTCTACTGAAGTAAATCCGAGTAAATCGCCATAACGCCGACATCTCCACCGCTCCCATGTTTTATTTTGTGTTGCCATAAATTAGTCTCTCTGCGTTTCTGCGCTGGGCTAATGCTAATGGTAATAATGCTAATAAAATGGTGGCTTCACAACACTTTTTTTTTGTTTTACGGGGCGTGGTTTGCAATCCGCCCAGCCAATCAGAAATATAGCTCTTTTCTCACAAGAGAGCCGCATGACAGTCCCTGCTCTCTAGCAGGGACGGGAAAGGGGGTAAAAAGGTTCTCATGAACTAATTTTAGTTCCGGCTCTTTTTGGTGTGAACGCGACATTTCGGAACTATATCGGAACTAAAGTGGGAAAAGTACTCCGGTGTGAATGCGGCTATTGGGACTCCCTGATAGTTGGAAATCGATGCTAAAGGCCCCCCCTCTGCGTTTGATGGTGACGCCAAGGGATCTTGACATAACGTCACTATAGTACGAGTTGGGAGTGAGAATGTGTTGCGTCATATTATCATACAATCCAATTATACTTTACGGGAAGTCTAGAAGGACACATTTACATGGACACCAATATGTTCTTGTCATTCTTGGGCTTTGATAAATAAACCAATAAAGTCTTGAATCCTCAAATCTCTGTCTTCTAGAGCCAGTTTTAACTAACAGTTCTCCAGATGATACAAAAAAATATAACCTTTACCTGCCCTTTAGGACACCACATAGAAGCATTTTCTGACCTGATGCACCTATCGAGTTAAGTTGCCTTTCGTAATGTTTACAAAACACAGATGATAAAGAAATCTGTCTTATGGTGTGGCCATGGGGTTAGTGTTTGACCCACAAACCCTATTTAGATCGTGAGAAGCATCTAAGTTTGGGTTGAAATGACTACTCTGTTGGACCATTGGCTTTTATTTTAGTAAGATTAAACAAACAGCAATCTACTATGATTAACTGTGTCCTTTTTTATCATTCTGCAACTTAGTCTCACAACAATGTACTTAAGACAGATTGACGATAGTCATTATTACAATGACTGAGGTGTTTGTCACCTAAATGTAAAGTATTCACATGAAAGCTAAATAGAGGTAAGTTGAAATGTTACCTTACTTAAAT